AATATTTATTTCTCCCATCAGCAGTGTCTGAGGGCCTTGTCACATGATTTGATGGAGGATGTCTGACATTCTCCTGTATCGGTACTTTGCCATGTAACTCAACTGTGCAGGGTGGGGAGATACTGTGGCTTTGACTTACAGTTCAATCCAAGCAAGGCAGCTATATAACAGTTGTAAGCACCTAATTAATGTCACAGTGCCATACCCCTCCCTCAAACCTCAGACAGGAATGAATAACTTGACTCAGTGCTAGGTTTGAAGTGGGAAAATCTGAATAAGCTGCTACATCTCCCATTGGTGAGAAGAGTATGGGCCAGTCACTTTTTCCTCCCACGCTTTGCTTGCTGATGGCGAGGGTTCAGCCTGGCTGTGCCTGGGCACATGTTGGTATAGATGGCCTCTTGATGGGCGGGCGGATGCTTTGCTGTGGAAGGTGAAGCCTGAAATGAAGATACCATGGGTCAGAAAAGCTATGATAAGGAGAAGGAAGATTGCAGGAGTGATTACATGCCACTATGAGGTCTGGGTTACTGTATGAAGGGTGTTGAGGGAGGCTCTTTCAGAGGGAAGAGTTCATCCAGGCAGTAGAGAAACTCCTCTTCCCTACATACCTGGGAGAGGTTCGCACAAGGGTAAGCTGTGCTCTCCAGCAGCACCTACTAGATGCTCTTCCTACCTGACTCATCCCTTGCAAGTTTTCGTAGTCATTCTCAGGAAGGGACAGGCTAGATGTAGGCGGCATGTTCACGTACATGTCCGACTGGGCAGGATCAGCTTCATGCTTCTGAAATGGATGTGTAGCATTCAGAACAAATGGTCAGCTCTAAGGGACCTGTCTCAGAGGCTAAGTACAGACATTTAAAAATCCTGAGCCCGAAGCGATTTAATCTTTTCAGGTTAATCTAACCTGCATAGATTGAACTGAGAAGCAAGTGAGTAGACATCCACTTCTGATTCCGAAAATGCAGCCCCATGCCTGCAGTGGCTCAGGCCAGAAGCTGGGGGTGCTAGAGCAGCCCTCCCATCCCTTCGGCAGCAGCCCAAGGCTGGAAGGAACCTGACCCAGGTGGTGGGTGGGCATGGCCAGGCCCTAGCAGACTGCTGTGTGTGACTGGGGAGGCAAAGTGAGGGCCGGCTCAGGGCTGGCATTTGGCCATGCCCATTTCCACTGCTCGAGCAGCAAATGGGAGGGAAAAGCCTGACAGGCTGCTGCGCCACTGCCAGGCAGACTTCAGCTGGGGTCCCATGCTGGGGAGAGAAGGGAGGGAGGGAGGATTAAACCCCACTTCCCCACCTCACCCTACTGGCTCTGGCCAGGGCATGGCCATGCTCCCTGCTCTCCTCTCTGGCTGGGAGAGAGGCAGAAAGTCCTGGCAGGGGCTGCCCCCTCCCCCACTCAAGTGAAGAGTGGGGTGGGGGAAGGGAAAGAAGTTCGGCAGCCCCCCCCCCGCCAGCCCACATGCAGACCTGGGCTGGGTCCCATGGGCCACATAGGGGGTTTAAACCTCGCTCCTTCTCCTCTGCCTGAGCCTGCTGGCCCACATCCCTGCTCCCTCCACTCCAGTGGAGGAAACATCTGGCAGGAGCTGCTCCACCCCGCCGTGCACATCTGGCTGTGTCCCCAGCCAGGTTTCCCACCTCCATCCCCTTGTCGGTCAGCCCGCACTGCTCGGCCTAGAGAGCAGCAGGGCAGAGCCAGCCCTGCTTTGCTGGAGCAAAGAGCCCAGCCCAGCCCAGGGCTGCAAAGCATCCTGGGGTGCTGGAGGACTGTGATTTAACTTGAACCGGGAAGGGGTCTGGGACTGAAGTTCCATAAACCAGTTTGACCTAAATCAGTTAAGTCTGATACTACATTCAACCAGGTTTATCTTAAACCAGTTTTGGCCATTTTGAAACTGGTTTATGAGCACTGAACTCCTGTTCTGTTACAAGTTTAAACCAGTCCATGTGTAACTTCTGTCTCTAGTCCCTTTGGGGAGCCAGAGGCACTATGTTGTGGGCAGCGGCTCTTCCTATAGCTACTACAGGTCTCAGCTATGCTAAAATGGCCACTATACAAGCCTGGAGAAGGACCTCTATTTTTACACCCCCGCCCCCGGTCAGTTAATTGGCACTACTGGGGCCTTCAGTACAAAAAAAGCATGACCCTCTATTTCACTCCTTCAAGTGGGTGCAACCACCACTACCACCAGCTAGCTATTGATATGTGCCAGCTCTTGGAGGGAGATGGATGCCTCTACTAGTGTGGCTCAATGGTCCCAAGTGTGCAGCATCTGCTTTTAGACCCATCCAAGAACTCATTTCAGGTGAATGGTACCGGTGGGTCCCCCTTACAGTTTAGCAATGGTGAAATTTTCTATGCTCAGGAGCCACTGGCCAGTTTCCATTCCTTTCTAACAGTTCCTGTACTGAGCTTGTCACTGTCCTATCTGAGAACTGTACTGAGTGTTTCTCTTACCAATTTACAGAGATAGAAGTTCTTGTTCTGTGGTTGCAATGTTTTCTTAAGATCTGGAAGAATTGTAAATAGGCAATGTATCAAACGGAGATAAAGCTCCTTTTGTTTGTGTCTGAAGTCTTGTGAGGCCCCCCCACACAGCATCCCTCTGAGCCTCACAATGCAATACTGGAATAAGTCTTCTCCTCCCCCCTCCCCGGTAGTTCCCAACCATCCAAGCCATCTGCCTGGCTTAAGATATTAGACAAAATTTTAAGGTCTGACCTGAGGAAGGACACTTTTGGGGCCTGAAAGCTTGTCTAACATCTCTCCCAAACTACAGAGTTGGTCCAATAAAATATATCACCAAAGAAAACCTTGTTTCTCACATTTTCCTGGACCACCATACCTCCAGCACTCCAACTCTACTACAGCATGGCTTAAAATAGGCACTTGTGCCATGCTTGTGATTGAGATGTGGGTCTGGATGCCCTCTGGGGATCTGACCACTTAAATAACCACCCAGCGCCTTGGGTGGACTTTCCTGTCTGGGTTGAGTGGTCCCATTCCAGTTATCTAAGCTGCCTAGGTCAGATGTGTCTATGCATGCTACTGTTACCCTTTGACAGTGTAGATATTCAATCCACTTTCTTTCGGTTGTGTTGGTAACTTGGGTTAATGAGGAATTTAGGAAGGAAGAATATAATGGCTCATTCACCGATCAGGAAACGCTTACCTTTTTTCTTCTTCCACGATACTCTTACAAGTCCTACCACAATGAGGATGATCACAAGGAGAACCAGCAGGATGGATGGTGTCATGATGTGAAGGACTGGGTCTATGGTACTAGGAGCGGGAGGACAGAGTGTTAATGTCTACTCTTATCTGCAATGTTAACACTGGGTGGGTGTGGGTGTGCATGTGCGCGTGCCCCAAGACTAGGCATTTCACAGAAAGATTCAAGAAACCTCCTATGGGACATCCTGTAGAATAAGTTGCTCACAGGAAAGTCTTTTCTCTAAATCTGTTAGTGACCAATTTTACACCTTGAAGCCCTTAAACATTATTGTGCCCCAGCCAGCATGACAACATGGCTTCATATTGATCTTGCTCCTCATCTCAAATTGCCAGTGTTGGGTTAGTATTAGCCAACACCCTTCATTTTATAAACAGGAGACATCAAGGCCTGTGTGCTGCCCCAAGCGGAGGGCATGACACAGCTGGGATGAATGCTTTGGTCTCCTAATGGAGCTACAGGAGTTCAGCATTGACTTGAATTCTGCAAAGAAGAGTCAGGAGTGAGAGCAGCAGAGTTATAAAGACATGGGGGCAAATGTCTGTGGGATGAGTCTGTTGACCGAAGCATAGTCTCTGCCAGTTATATCATTCCATCAAAACCCTTCACAAGTCTAATAGCAATGGGACATACTGATCCTCACAGCTGACATTTTCAACAGAATTGCCATGAAGCTTTTATTAGGTGAAGTACATCTTGGTTAAATGCTCAGATTAACAAGCCAGGCCCTTGAGCTGAGCAAGGATAAAAGTCTCTGCCTGTTAAAGCCTTGCACTGTATCTCTCGCTTGCAAGTAGTGATATTTCTGACTAAAGTAGTTATCTTGCAGCGCTTAGCCCCTTCCTGGGCTGAGACCTACAAACCACTTCCTCTGAAATATAAAAAACAGTGCCAAATTGACCTCTGTCTGAAAAGCCAGAAGTGATTCGGTCTGGCACTTTCCCTGAATACAATCAGAAAAGCAGAAATGACAAGACAAGAAGACCCACCATGCTGCAGGTCAGAACTACAGTGCTGGGCTGGTCTTTTTGCTTACTAGTGCAGTTAGTACTATTGGAAGAGCACTCTAGAGTAAGCAAGTACAGCAGGAGAACTGCCTGGCCCTGGCTGAAGTCAACATATGTCTATATTTCAGCTTACAAACCCAACTAAATCCCAGCAAATTTCATTTTACAAATCCAGCAAAAATCCACTGGTGCAGTTCATTCTCTGAAGCCTTCTTTGCACAGAGTCCTGTGAGTTGAATGAAGTGCCTCTCATTTTAAGATCAAGTGTTTCAGCAGAACCGATTCTTTGGCTCAAGAATCCTGTGTGCTGCTGGGGCTTGATGCGAGGCCTCCAGCCTTGAGGATGGCAACTGTGTAATGTGTGTTTGGCCTCCCAGTGCAGTCAAAAGCCTGATCCTACCAGAGAGGTTGGTGAGATGCAACCCCCACAGCACTGTCTAGTATGAGACCGGGTGCTCTCACCTTGCATTAACGGCCTCTCCCATGGCCCATGTGAAGTCTGGAATGGTGGAAACATCAACATCTGTTGTCTCTTCCTTTCCTGATGTTGTTGAGGTGGCGATGTCGGGGGGTGGGGAAGTGGGGACAGCTGCAAACAGAAGCAGGCTGAGCTGTGTTAACAACATGCTGTTTAGGTGGCAAAGTTCACTGATTTCCTATTCTACCAGGTGGCATCTGCCTGAACTCCTTGGGACACACTACTCCATAAGGAATCAGGACTCCTGACACTAACCTGTCACACCTTCATATCCTTGCCCTGTATATCCATGCAACAAGCCAGGTAAGGGGTGTACTTAGCAAGATACCTTTTCTGAAGGGTCCAGCAACAGACATGTGAGACAAAACTGTATTACTTCCCATAAGAGACAATTATAGACATTCCTAGCCCCATGGGGTGCTACTTTCTAACTGTTATCAGTTAGTGACTGCCTCTTTGCTCTAAAGCCCTTGGACATTATTTTTATCCTACTGTGCCTAGTTGGTTTAAATATTCATAAGAGGGATGAATTCCAATAAGCCCTTGACTTAGTATATTGTGGTAGTGTCTAAGGGGTTAATCAGCCTTTCAACTATTCATTGCCTTCTAAAATTAACCATCTCCTATCTCCTGAATATATGGTAATACTTTTAACTTCTTTCTCTTTTCTGCTGGTGTCTGGAATACTTATTGTTATGATCCATTGTGCAGTCACTGCTCAAAGGATTGAGCTAGAAATGGGAAACCAGAGAGGTCTTAGTACAATGGAAATGGATTTAAGTGGGGAGCAGGCTCCTGTAGAAATGGAAAAACAGAAGCAAAGCCATTGGAAAAGATGGACACTGATCAGTCTGGGGATTTGTGTTCTCTGCCACTTTAAATTAAATACCTAGCACAGACCTTGGTGATATGTCATCTGTTTTCTGCCTCTCCCTTCTCACTGGATGGCTGAAGCAATTTCAAATGTATTGTCATGGCACAGGGTCCTGCAGGATGTCCGTGATCTCCCTAAGGCCCCTTCCTGTGCCAAGTTGGCCCAAAGGGCACCCTCACATTCTCTCCTGCCACGTCTTTGGTGTTCACATATATTAGGGAAGCTACCTTTTACGTCCTCTTGGACACGGGTTGCTGTAATATCTGACCCCGTGGACTCCCAGACCCCTTGTGGGTCCTGTTCTGCAAATGGGTGCTTCGGGGCACCCTAGCCTTATGGGCTATGTGTGGCTCCAACCACCCCTTTGCCACCCCCCAAGCCTCACTGATGGGATAGACGTTGTTCTGTCCAGGCCCCATTATAATTCAGCCCCCTTGTCCTCTTTGGGCCCCGCGTGGCCCTATCTACCTCTGCACCCTCTCTAGTGCTCGGGCTCTCTGTGGCCCTGGTCTCACTCAGCACCCTCTCTGGGGCTTCTCAGTAAAGCTGCCCCCTCCTCTAAGGCATTGAATGTTTGGAAAATGGAGCACTGTGGCAGGGCACTGTTGGTGCCTGCCACTTTAAGGGCTGAACCAAGCAGGCAGCAGGTGATTGATTGCAGTGGCCATTTTAGATCCCTGGCTGTCTATATAAACAGGGCAGTTCACTGTTGGCAGGCCAGGTAGTAACATTGCCTGGCTATTAGGCTGAATACAACTTCCTAGAGGTAAGGGCAGGACCTGTAGGGGATGGTTTGGAGGCTCCTGGTCCTAGGCATGACCTAAAACTGCACCCTGCCAGGAGTGGGAGGCCTGGTGGGGCTCTCAGTGGTGCAGGAGCCCCCAGGAAATGCCAGGCCAGTTATCACCCTGGTGAAAGGCAGGTAGGGGTGCCTTAACCCCAGCCCAGCCCTCACCTTCAGGTGGGTCATTTACCATCAGAACAGGGTAGGCCAGGTAAGCTTCAGGAAGTGCCTGAGCCAGGAATGGGGGACCCCGATCCCTAAGTGCAGGCAGGAGGTGTAAACCTAACCAAGGGACTTGACTGGTCAATGCTGGGACCAGGACTGGAAGGGTCAAAAGGGCCAAGGGCCCACCATAAGGGACGCCCACGATGAGCAAAGAAGCTTGGGGTCCTGACTGGCCTGAGACGGGGCCAGGGTTTATGGAGCCAAAGGTCCCATGAGTGGGGCTACAGCTAATGGGCAAAGGGGACAGTTGAGCCAACTGCCTGAGATGCCATCTGCAAAGCTTGAGCTGTGGTATAGGGGTGGAATGGAGCCATGGATAGCCCCACCCCACCCCAATATCAGGGTGTAATTTGGGCAGCCTCCCGCCTTAATTAACAACATAATTAATTACAACAAGGCATGGCAGGAAAGTCAGGTGGGTGGCATGACCAGAAGCAGATGGGAAACTAGCTCTGTGGTTAGTCAGGGGTCCTCTCTTTGCCACAAACACTGAGACTAAAGTTATGAAACTCCTAAAGCTAACTCTTTTCATGGGCACCTAAAAGACTGCTCAGAATCCTAGTTACATGAGACTTCCTGCATGGGTTTTTTTTTTATTACTTTTGCAAGTGAGTGGATTTTAAAATTATTCAACTAGCTCATTCTCTTAGGCCTCAGGTAAAATATTCTTGATTTCAAGCAGGGATTTTGCTTTAGAAAGGGCAGGCAGTCGGGAAGCCAAGATGTGGAGTAATGTGATGCTGTACCTAGAATCAACTCCCTGCTTTACATGACGCACCTAAGAAATCAGCTGGAGTTCCTCGGGGCTGTGGGAGGAGATCCATAGAGCACTTGTTGCGGAGTCATTTTTGGCTAAGTCCTCTCCATCTGGGCCTTAGTCAAACCACAGCAAGAACCACTCAGAATTTACCTGGGAGAATGAACACTCGAACAAGGATCATGAGATCAATTCCAAATGTCTCTATTCCACACCAGTAAGTGTCATCATCCTCCTCTTGAAGGTCCTTCATGGTCACTGTGAATATGCACAGAGTATGATTGTCTCTGATGGAGAGTCTCTCCTGTCTTACTTCCTCCTCGGACCCTGTAGTCTGAACGTCCACAGAGCATTGGCTCCAGTTGTCTCCCCTGCACCAGTACTTCTTGTAACTTCGATAATCTTTGCTGTACTGACAAGACACAAGAACTGATCCACCCACGGTCCCGTTCACCTTCCAAGGTCCAGTCAGAGCCCAACAGCCTGCAAAGAAGAGAGCCACTTTCATGCTAAAAGAGAATGGGAACTGGAGATGCACAGTTCAGAGCTAGTCCATAATCCCTTCCTTTCTTCTGTAGATAGTCCTGTGTGTAAGGAGACCTGTGAGTAAACAACCCCTTGATGCAAGGGGCCCTCACCACAGGGCTATCAAGCCACATTGACTCTTACTGGCTCTGATCTGGTTCTAAATTCTTTTCTGCAAAGTGGAACAGCTT